CACATACAGCCCCGCAGCAATTAATCAGCAAGAAAAACAAAAAACTAGTAAAAGAACAAAAAAGTAGGAGGACAAAAACAAGGAGCTGCAACGAATGACTCCAGCGTAGAAAAACCACACCCAAGGCTCCACGGCACATGCGTATGAGTGTGTCTGAGACGCGTTCAACGTGACGGATGTAGGCAGCAACGCGGAGCACACAGCAGGGCAGCGGAACCAAACAAAGCAAACACGACCATCATAATTACACTTAATTTATACATCGGACCACAGTAGACGTACACATGTCCCCGTGGCTAAGTGCTGGCACGCACAGCCCACGCTCCCTTTCAGCCCACAGCGGTGCACGCCAGCGCGGATACGGCGAGCAGCAGCGGGGCACACACCCACGCAGAGCTGCTGAGGCTGCCGTCGATTTCACGAAGACGTGACGGTGCGCGGGTGGTCGTCGTGGTTGACGCCTCTGTCGCAGCGGCCCTCATCGTGGTAGGCATCGTATTTGATTTCTGTTCCTCAATTGAGTTCTCTGGCGCAGCAGCTTCATAATTGGTTCCATTTTTGTGTCGGAATTACGTGGTGTCTCTCCCGCACTTGCTGTATCTTTTCCCTTCAACGCAGGGGAGTTCTTACTTGGTGCTGGCGCAGCAACAGGGAGAGTTGTTCCTCCTGGTATGCCTAATGGAGCTGTTGCTTTTGTCGTATCATGATTCGTACTTACTTCCGTTGGTGGAGAGGGCGGTAAACCGTGTCCACTTGTTTGCTGTTCCTTCCTGGAAACGGTTTCTTCGTGCACCGTAATGGAATCACTTAGTGACTGATCCGTTTTGTTCTTCGCATCTTCCACCTGTTAAGTTTCGTCCTTCAAACGTGTTCCGTCTCGCGTGCCAGACTCAGTGGATCAGTCATGCGTAATTGTCGCACCTATTCCTTCAGGAAACAAAAGACGATAGACTGGAGTCTTCATTATCGTCAGCTTTAATTTTGCCTGCATTCTTTGGGCCATCCTCGGTTTGTTTCCTTGGCACAGGAAGAAGTGGACTGGGGCTTGCAACACCTTCTTCACCTGCTGTCACGCACACGGAAGTGGAGCAGCAGCAGCACGAGAGCGCAATGAAAAAACACGGCGCACACCACACGGAGCCGCACCGTCACCATCGTCATCATCGCAGTCATCATCACCCGTAGTTGAGTCGCTGGAGTCAGTGAGCCGATCCGTGAGCCAGAAGGAAAAGGAATGGAACCGGAGGGAGAGGGACGGAGTGCAGCGGATACAGCGAGAGAGAGCAGACAACATGAGGAGAGGGCAGCAGGCCCAGCCGCACAGTTCAAACACCACGAGACGGCATCCACGCAACGAAGGCACACAACGCCAGCAGCCACCCACCATGCAGGAGGAGAAGACATCCACCACCATCTCCCCCAGCTCATCTCTACAGCCCCAGGGAAATGGCAAAAACCCCGCGGCCACCACACAACGCACACGGAGCGAGCACCCACCACACCAGCCACACGCAGAAGCGAACCCTCATCCATCCATGACGCGGCACCAAAATTCCCTGCCATCCTGCCCTCAATGGGACACGGAGCCCAACTCAGCGCAGTCACACGCGGTGCACCACACCCGCAGGAAAAGAGACTCGGGCTGCGCGCTCACTCTCCTCTCCCTTCTCCTCATGGCCACGGAAGAAGACAACAGCCGCCACACGCAACTGCCAGCATGCACTACAAAAGGGAGCATTCAAATTCACTGCAATGTGCATCGTGTGTGTGTGTGTTTGTGTGTGCCTGCGGAAACACAAAGCAAAGAAGTAGAAAAGAGGGAGCAGAGTGTGTGGAGAGACGCACAACAAAAATGTACAGCAGAGACGCATGGCCGAAACAACAACAAGAAGACCGCTCAAACTCATGACTGCACTGCAGCCCAGGCAGTGGCGATTCACCCACGATTTATTTAAAACAAGAAGAAAACCATCCCCTTCGTCTTATACAAACCCCATCACACAAAATAATTATAAATGAAAAAGAAATCGTCCATTACTGTTCCACACAAATTTAGAAGTCGCCTGGCTGCCGTGTGGCCACACCAAACTGTCTGTATATATTTTGCCCACAAGAGAAAATTGAAAAGATGGTTGCGTGTGCTTCAACCGTCCGACCCTCCATTTGTCCGCACATCGTTTATATTTCATGGGGTCATCTGCGTGTTGGTGCTCCCCTCAGCCCTTTCATCGGCGTGCGAATGCGGCCCGCAGAGCACAGTCACTCGTGTGTGTGGGGACTGGGAGAAGCACGCAGACATGACGGCAGTCGCGTCACTCCATCGGGGGAGTGAGCGCAGCAAAAGAAAAAAATCATCAGGAGGGAGAGAAATGCTGACGGGACTGCCAGCGCGTGAAATGAACACGAAAAGCAAAAAAAAAAGAAAAACACGGCGGCAGGGTGTGGCTGTGTGTGTGTGGCGCTGCGGGTGTCTGCCCGCCCTCGCCGCAATAAAAGCAAAACAAGAGGGAAAGAAATGTGTGCTCCGCCCCACAGGCCCTCGTCGCACGCCCACACGTCACGGCTCCCTCAGCGCGCCGTTCGTCGCGGCCCCTCCTCATGCGTGCAGCAGGCGAGGCGCACAGGGCCGTCGTCATGAGCGTGTCGGTGGGTGTGCGAGTGGAGCAGTTGGGCGGGAAACACACGGCACCCCTCACAGGAAGAGTGCAGCAGGAAACAATTAAAGAGGGAAGAATAGAAAAGAAAAAATGTCCATAGTGATTGCCCCCAAAAGCAAAAAAGAGGGGTGGGGGAGAAAGAGATGATAAACAAAAGAACAGAAATGTAAGAAAATTAACGCACATAAAGCAAAACTAAAATTAAAACATTAAAAAAAAATAAGTAAAAACGCACAAAAAACTAAACGCACATAAAGAAAGAAAAGCAAATAAAAGTTATTTAGGAAGAGAAATTCATTGCCAGGTGTGTGTGTCGGTGCAGCGGAGGTCGCAAGTGTCCCACGCGGCAGCCAGTCACTCCTCACAGAGCCGCAAACCCCCACAGTCCCAACAGAAGAAGCAGCGATGGCAGCAGTCCGCTCTCACAAACAGTGCCGCCATCACCTGCTGCTTCTTCAACGGCATGGGAGTTCGAAAACGCCGCCTTCCCCACACTTCCCTGCGATGTATTCGCCGGCACTTGCTCTGTGTTGGCAGATTCCCCCACCGTTGCATTTTGCCCTGCCTTACTTTCTTGTTGAGGCTGCTGCAAGGTCGTTTGCTCCCCTGGAGAAGGCATTTCTGCATGAGGTTCTTCTGCAGTGGACGCTTGTGCTTTAATTTCCTCTCGAGGCTGCTGCGGTGCCGCTTGCACCCGTGGAGAAGGCATTTCTGTGTGAGGTTGGCCTGGGGAAGACGCTGCTGCATGAGGTTGTTCTGCAGGAGACACCACCGGAGCAACCACAGACTCTTCTACTTGCTCCTCTTGCTCTTCTCCCTTGTCATCCTCCAACACACTCGGAATGACAAGACTGCTGCCGTTGGCGGCAATGGTGCAGACCTCAACGTACTTCGGGCACTTGATCTTTCCGTCTTTCTCAAAATTTTCCAACGTCACTGTGATTACAGAGCCCTCGGGGCATTTATGCCAATTATCAGTGTTGCCGAGGTACTTCACCTTCACTGTGCCCTCTGCACACAACACCTGCGCGCACACTCCCTTGACGCTTTTATGTTTACCGTCCTTCGTCTCCAGTAATTCCGCATCCAGGCACCACGAGTCACCGCCAGTCAGCGACCCAGGGAGAGAAGTCACAGTTCCGTCCGAGCACGTATTGTACTTTATCCCAGACGATTTTTCGTGAAAGTACGAAGAAACAACAGGGCAAAAGTCCTTATCCGTAGGACTCCCCTCGTTTTCAACGATGATTGCGGTGCACGTCCCGACGTGACGGCGGTCGGAGGTGCAGCGAAGCGTCTCTTTGTCGGAGTCATTGCAGAACATGTGGGGATACTTGCCGGCAAGATTCTCGGTTGCATTGCACTTCTTCTCCAGGAAGTCGCAGCCGGTGCCGTTGCCCCAGCCCATCGGCTCCGCCATGCTCCAGTTCACGCGGTAGTACTCCATATCCGCAAACACCGCCATCGTCAGAGCCGTGTAGTAGCCGGCACCGACTATGGGAGCCATCAGCTCGTCCCGCGCGTGGCGCTCCTTCCAGTGAGCTATCGCCTTTTCCCGAGTGCCACCTTCGTCCTCCAGCTCCATGCCCTCGAGAGAGTCACAACCAAAGTGCGCTTTCGCCTTCTCCTGAACGTGATCCCCTGCCACCATCTTGCGGACCTTCTCACGCACAATTTTGGCTGAATTCTTCACCAGGCTCTTTTCCTCCATACTCTCTTTACTAAACCCAAGTGCATGCGCAAGTTCGTGTGCGGCAACGCGAACGCTCCACGCCGTGTCAGTCATGTACGTTGGATCAAAGTTGATGGCGCCAATGGAGGGACGAAAATCTTCCCATTTGTTACACGTTGCCGCCCAAACAGCCCTGCTATTCGTGCCTGATGGCCCAGCAGAAGCGTAGATGACAAAGTCAGCAGCCACGCCGCATAGCCGGTGCTCAATAGGAACCTTAAAGTGTTTGCACGCTTCATTCAAATTACTCGGCACGGTTATGTTCCTTTCAGTGGGTTTCACAAGTGGTCGCTCAGCGTGCAGTTTGACAGCACCGGGGAGAATCTTTTCAGTGTACAATTTCTTCTTTGCTTCCGACAATACATGTTCTTCTTTACAAGTTATCTGCTCCCCCAAGAGGTTGTCGCACTCATCCCCAAACTTTTGGCAATACGTCTTCTTCCCCCTGTTCGTGCTATTCAGTCCATCCGTGAACACTTTGATGTGGATCGGCTCCCAGCCACTGTTGTCATCCTGTGTGGCGACGGTGTACGCCTGCATGGTTCCCTGTCCCTTGCGCGGCACCTCACGCACAACCGCAGTCGAATGCGGACCACTCCTCCCCATCATCTCGTCCAATCCACGGCGGTATTGTGTGGCGGGTGCAGCGGCAATACACGCAGTGGCGCAGTACATCAGCGACAAAACCAGCAATGGGAGTGGCGGCGTGGCATGGTGTGGCTGGCGCATGGCCTGAGGAATATGCATTTCTTGGTTTCTTGTGTGAGCAGCAGCAGCAGTGCAGCCTGGCTGTGGGAGGAGAGAGACAAAGGACAAAGAGAGAGAAGAAAAAGGAAATGGTTTAGTGCCAGTGATGCGTCAAAATGCGGTACATGCAGCGGAGTAACAGGAGACCACAGAGACAGCCATGCACACCGCGTGCGCACCAAACCCATCAACGGGGCAAACCGTCTATCCGTCGTTGACTGAGCGTCCATCACCGTCGCACGCATTCCTTATCGGCCGCAACGCTCCCTA